CCCCCCCCCCCCCAACCCCTCCAAAAACAACTGAGCAGACCAATGGAGCTGACGATAAAAAGTGAGGAACTTATATTAGCACTTTATTTTCATGTTTGGTTTTAATATTGTATTTATATTACCTATTGCTGTGTTTTTATATGTATTGCTAGAATTTTATTCTGTTTCTGTAAGCCGCCCTAAGCCGGCCTTGGCCAGGAGGGGGGGATAAAAGTTAAATCAATCAATCAGCCAGGTCTAGTTGTCATGCCAGCCAGGTGTCATCAAGTCACCCAGAGGGCACTGCCAGGCCTAGTGTAGCCAACCTCCAGGAGGAGCCTGAAGATCGGCTGGTATCACAAATGAACTCCAGACAACAGATCTCTCTCAGAGAGCCAGTTTGGTGTAGTGGTTTAGGAGTGTGCAGATTCTAATCTGGGAGAACCGGGTTTGATTCACCACTCCTCCACTTGCAGCTGCTGGTGTGACCTTGGGTCAGTTACAAGATCTTTCAAAGCTGTTCTCTTAGGAGCAGTTCTCAAAAGAGGTCTCTCAGTCCCACAGGGTGTCTGTTGTGGGGTGGAAAAGGGAAAGGAGATTGTAAGCCACTCTGAGACTCCTTCAGATAGTGAAGGGCAGGGTATAAATCTAATCTCTTCTTCTTCTTCTCCCCCTGGAGAAAATAACTGCTTTGGAGGGTGGACTCTATGGCATCCTATTCAACTGAGGCCTCTCCCCTCCCCAAACTTGGGGTTACATAGAGTCCACTACAAAATATCCAGGAGTTTTCCAACCTGGAGCTGGCAATCTTAGTCAGGACTGGCCCCAATGAGTTCCCCACAGAGGCCAAAGTAGGCCTGGAAAGGGCCTCCTGCCCCTTCCTTTTTACTGACAGAACCAAGCTTGGCTGCCTAGCAACAGTCACTCATACCAGCATTGCTTTGGTAATCTAGAATCCAAAATACAACCTAAACTGCACCAGTACTAAATCGTCCTTATATTTATTCTAGATTCAGTAGAGGAGAGACCTGTCTCTGTCCTCAAAAAGCTGCAGCAGTTCCGGGAGATATTGATAAGTGCCTTTTTAAGAAGTTATTTTTCAGGGACTCTAATGGAGCAACATTGGTGGTGGACCTCGTAGGGTTTTCAAGGCGGGAGATATTCAGAGGTGGTTTGCCATTGCCTCCCTCCACATCACAATCCTGGTATACCTTGGAGGTCTCCCATCCAGGGCTTTTTTTTCTGAGGGAATGCACCGGAATGGAGTTCCAGAACTTGTTCAACAAAATTCTTTTAAAGATGTTTAAAAGTTCATGAGTTTTCAGTATGCAGATTGAAAACTTCATTTCCCTCTTGAGAGTTCTGGCACCGCTTTTTTTTTTTTTTTTAAGCACTGCTCCCATCCATTTATTAGTCAGGGTTGACCTTGCTTAGCTTCTGAGATCTGACGAGATCGAGCTAGCCAATCCTCAAACCTCAGATACCTGACACATTTGTGCAGCTACTTTCCTCACATAAATTTTAAAGACAGGCTCTACTAGCTGACCTTCTTTAGAAGGGAAGACTCCCAAGAGTGTAATATTTTCCACCCCAGCACCTGTCAGGTAACTCTCCTGGCTTGTGCAACCAGCCAGCCAAGCAGAAGAGCTAAGTGCAACATTGCCCAGAGGCGGGGGGGGGGGCATTTGTTATGTCCAAAGAAACCCATTCTTCTCTGTGGAATCCCTCACTGCTTCCCAGCTCCCTGAACAATTTTGAAGAGCCTTTGCTTTGGCAGCCGCTGCCACCTCCTGAAAACTCACTCCTCTCACCAGTTTAATGTCAGGAGGGCCATCAAATGGGGCTGTTTAGTAACATGGGCAAAGCAAGGCTCCCAGTTAGGAATCAAGGCAGTCTCTTTATCGCTTAAACGATAAACACTTTATTCCATTATCTACATTTCTAAAAGGTATACAGGCTACAAAAATGAGGGTGCAGGGTCCAAGAAAGAAAAAAAGAGAAAGATTTCAAACCTAACTAGGAAAACTACCTGTTTGTTACCTGGCATTTGCTCCCCCCCCCCCCCCCAAGCAAATTGGCCTATGGATAGATGATATTCTCCAGCTGTCACACACGGATTCTTCATATGCACACAGAAACAAAGGGAGAACATCTCCTTTTCAGTTAAAGTGCACTGAAGTCCTGACCAATGTAGGTTCTGAAATCCTGACTGCTGCAAGAAAATGGCAGCCAATGGAAAGTTGCTGTTCATACCAGAGTGATTATTTTCCCCACAGGATGCAAAAGCATTGGTATCTGGGACTGATGGGTTTTTCCCAGACTGGTGTTTCTATCAACACCTGTTCATCTCCACGACTGTCAGCCCATCATAAGATGAAAATGTTTCCTCTGCCCTCATCTATAACAAAGTGTACTTAAGAAATCTGAATAAAAATTTAGTTGGATGTCAAAACACAGAATGCCTAGATGAAGAGTAGGTGGGGAAAACATCTAACAAAGAAAGTGTAACTGCACCAAGCCCATGATGTCTGTGAGCATAGTGTGTCAGAGGCTATGGGTTGCATCCCGTGCAAAATTTCTGTTTGCGCTAGTGTTCTTAGAATGCAGAAACACTAGGAAAAGTCAAACTTATTGTATCCCTTCTTGCTTTTCCACTTCAGCAAGATCTTCTAAAACAAATTTCTGGGCACTAATATAGGGATAAATGCACTAGATGATGCAAGAGATCTTGTGGGATACAGTGATTCCCGGTTATATATTATATCGGAAGGATGGGGGGGAAGGGTTGGAGGTGGGGTGACTGTATGTCAGAGAGGGTATAAAGTCCAGAAAGATTGAGAGGTTAAGAGAATTGGATTCACTTCTGGAAATTCTATGGGTTGAAATAGGGGGGCCAAAAGGAAACTTAACACTGGGAGTTTGTTATCACCCACCAGATCAAAAGATTGAGGATTATAAAATGATGAATGAATTAAAGATAGCAGCTAGACAAAAAAACGGTGTCGTGATAGGTGATTTTAACTACCCCACACATTGATTGGGTCAATACGTGTTCTAGTCGAGAAAAAGAAATTGAGTTTCTAGACACTCTAAATGACTGTGCTATGGAGCAGATGGTCACGGAACCTACCAGGGGAGAGGTGATCCTTGATTTAGTCCTAAGTATCACTCAAGACCTGGTGAGAGATGTAAAAGTGATTGCACCGCTTGGGAACAGTGATCATAAGGTTTTGAGTTCAACATTTGTATAAATAGGGAATTGGCCAAAAAGACCAACACAACCACTTTTAACTTTAAAAGGGGTAACTTCTCTGATATGAGGGGACATGTGGGGAGGAAACTGAAAGGAAAAGTAGGAAGGGTCAGAACCATTGAGGAAGCTTGGAAATTATTTAAAACTACGATCCTAGAAGCTCAAAAAATATATATTCCGCAGGTTAGGAAAGGCACAAACAGGTATAGGAAAAAGCCTGCATGGTTAACAAACAGAGTAATGGAGGCTGTAAAAAGTAAAAAGAATTCCTTTAAGCAGTGGAAAGCTAGTCACAGTGAGGCTGATAAAACGGAACACAGGCTATGGCAAATAAAATGCAAGTCTGAGGTCAGGCAGGCAAAAAGGGAACATGAGGAGCATATAGCAAAAAACGTAAAAACCAACAATAAAACTTTCTTCAAATACATTAGAAACAGGAAACCAGCCAGGGAGGCAGTGGGGCCCTTGGACGACCAAGGGGTAAAAGGAGTATTGAAGGATGATAGGGAAATGGCTGAGAAGCTAAACGCATTTTTTGCCTCCGTCTTCACTGTGGAAGATGAGAAGTGCTTGCCCACTCCAGAACCACTGATTTCAGGAGGGGTGTTGAAAGACCTGAGTCAGATTGAGGTGACGAGAGAGGAGGTCCTAAAACTGATAGACAACTTAAAAACTGAAAAATCACCAGGCCCAGATGGCATACATCCGAGAGTTCTGAAAGAACTCAAATGTGAACTTGTAGATCTCCTGACAAAGATATGTAATCTTTCCTTAAAATCTGCCTCCATTCCTGAGGATTGGAAGGTAGCAAATGTCACTCCCATCTTTAAAAAGGGTTCCAGAGGAGATCCGGGAAATTACAGGCCAGTCAGTCTGACGTCGATACCGGGTAAATTGGTGGAAACCATTATTAAGGAAAGAATTAGTAGGCACATAGATGAACAAAACCTATTGAGGCAGACTCAGCACGGTTTCTGTAAGGGAAGATCTTGTCTCACTAACCTGTTAGTGTTCTTTGAGGGGGTGAACAAACATGTGGACAAGGGGGATCCAATAGATATTATTTACCTTGACTTCCAGAAAGCTTTTGATAAAGTTCCTCATCAAAGGCTCCTAAGTAAGCTCAAAAATCATGGGATAGAAGGACAAGTCCTTTTATGGATCAAAAACTGGCTAGTTCATAGAAAACAGAGAGTGAGTGTAGGTGGGCAATTTTCTCAGTGGAGGGTGGTAAGCAGTGGGGTACCGCAGGGATCAGTACTTGGTCCACTGCTTTTTAACTTGTTCATTAATGATTTGGAGATGGGAGTAAGCAGTGAAGTGGCTAAATTTGCGGATGATACAAAGTTGTTCAGGGTGGTGAAAACCAGTGAGGATTGTGAGGCACTCCAAGGGGATCTGTCAAGGATGGGCGAGTGGGCGTCAACATGGCAAATGGGGTTCAATGTGGCCAAGTGCAAGGTGATGCAGTGGTGGTGGCTACAAGCATGGACGGCTTCAAAAGGGAATTAGATAAGCATATGGAGCAGAGGTCCATCAGTGGCTATTAGCCACAAGGTATAGATAGGGGCTCTGGGGTAAGTGATGCTCTGTCTTCTTGGTGGTTGGGGGGGGGTCAACAGTGGGAGGGCTTCTAATGTCCTGGCCCCACTGGTGGACCTCCTGATGGCACCTGGTATTTTTGGCCACTGTGTGACAGAGTGTTGGACTGGATGGGCCTTTGGCCTGATCCAACATTGGCGTCTCTTATGTTCTTAATGTTTTTATGTGCAAGTGAAACTGAGCTAAGTCTGTTTATGTTTATGTTTGCTCATTGCTAGATCCATGCCTAGGTCTGTGGAAGGTGGCAACCTTACTTTACAATTTCTGTCGGTGGATTTGTAAATGACTTAACTTTTCTGTAAAGGTTTTTTTTTTTAAATACGACATAAATACAACAAAGTTTGTTTGTTTTTCATCCATGTGACTCTTTTTTAATGTCCCCCCCCCCCAGTGGACAGTCCACATTCAAATGCCCTTTGTGTCAAGAAAGCAATTTCACAAGACAGCGCTTACTGGATCATTGCAACAGCAGCCATCTTTTTCAAATAGATGCAGTAGTGAGTATATGTTTATACAGCTTTAATATTTGTAAATGTTTTATTATAACATCTCTGTACAATGTGAGCTTGCTTTTTAAAACTGTCTTCATTCAAATACATTGCAAAGGGGAGAAAAGCTCTTTCCTGATTCTGTTGGCATACATAGGAGCACATTCTTAATTGGGTTAGGTCTCTCTTCTGGGATTGGGAAGGCAGGGCTAAAAGCCTCTTCCTGGAAGGCAGGACTTTCCAATCAGTTTCCAAGACCAGGAGGCCAAACTCTGAAACAAAGTTACTGCAAACAATAGTAGAGATTCATACTTTCCATATCAGACACATGATAATCAATTTAACTTTATTGAACAACAGACAGCAAAAGGGCATGCATCTAGATTTAAATATAGAAATAGGATCTGATATACCTCATTGGGTGGTCCAAATGTCCTTCTGCCTACAAAGAGAACTACAGTTCACCATGTAAGATCTTAATTTTCCCTCCTTGGTCAGAAGGACATTTGCAGGGGATGTTGCTGTGCTACTCACTTAATGGGCAAGACCACCCTCATGCATAGGGCTTTACACTCCATTAAGCTGGGGCTTTACACTCCCTTAAGTGTTGGGGAAAAGTATAGATGGGGACTCTTTTCCCAAGCTTGTGTGTTGTTCCAAGGGGTTGGTGCAGTCTATATTTAACAGACCTCTACTACAGGATGATATCACTAACTCCTGTGTCCTGAGAATACAGTGTTTTTGTTAACGGGGCAAATGCTAAAGTTTCAAATCTATGCTGAAGGGTTATTTCAGCTCAGTTATTCTCATCAGTCATAGCATCTGAATTTACAGAAGGAACAATTTTAGAGTTGAAGGCAGCCACCCACAGCTGAAGGCAGCATCAGCTCTTGAAATTTTCAAATCTTGAAGCAAGTAAAGAGTAACATTTCCTAAAAATAGATGGCATAGATTCCAGGACTACTCCATATCCCCCTTAACTGCATAGTCAAATGAGGCAGGAAAAGAAATGACAATTACTGTTAAAGGGAGCATCTGGAAAGGCTTGGAGGATTTTACAAAAAACCTCCCATCGCTCACATGTCCCAGGGTACATCTCCTTACACTTAGCAACATTGAACTTTACTTGCCACATTGTTGTTCACTCACCCAATTTGTGGAGATCCTCTCAGAGCTTTCACAGTGAGCGTTGGTTTTCACTATCCTGAATAATTTTGTGTCATCTGTAAACCTGGCACACTATACTACTCACTAGTTCCAGATCATTTCTAAACAAATTAAATAGTACCAGCCCCAATCAGTGTTCCCTCTAAGCCGTGGAGTCCTGTGAGCAAAAATTCTACTCTGAGCTACTGGCATTAAAGTTGTGAGCGAGCGATTTGGCTGCTGCATGAATGAGTTTGCTCTGGAGCCATCCTCCCTGAGCTAAGACAAAAATGTGTGAGCTGGAAGCTAAAAAACTGTGAGCTAGTTCACACTAACTCAGCTTAGAGGGAACACTGGCCCCAATACTGATCCTTGTGGGACCCCACTGCTTACTTTCCTCTATTGTGAGAACTGTCCATTTATTCCTACTCCTTGCTTCCTGTCCTTTAACCAATTTTCAGTCCATAAGAGCACTCATTCTCTTATCTCATGACTGCTAAGTTTACTCAAGAGTCTTTGGTGAGGTACCTTGTGAAAAGCCTTTTGAAAATCCAAGTATATATATCTACTGGGTCACTGTTGTCTACATGCTTGCTCGTTTTCTCAAAGAACTCCAAAAGGCTGGTAAGGCAGGGCTTCCTTTTGCAGAAGCCATGTGGATTTTCCCTCAGCGGGTTTTGTTCCTCTGTGTGCCTAATAATTGTATCTTTGATTACAGCTTCTACTAATTTGTCTAGGACAGATGTTAGGCTGACTGGTCTGTAATTTCTTGTTTTCCCCTCTGTACCCCTTTTTAAAAATTGGTGTAACTTTTGCTACTCTCCATTAGCTGAATTAGTGATAGGTTACATATAAGGGATAGTAGATCAGCTGAGAGCCCACACCTGCCTTCCTCAGAGGGGTAAGTCAGCTCACTATGGTCTCATGTAGGACTGTATAGTTACCACAATGCTGAAAGAATGGTGGCACTTACCTGTAACTGTTGTTCATCAAGGGGTTATTTGTGCAATCACACAACCCTCCCTCCTGCCCCAACTCAATTCCAGCAACTTAACTCACTCTGGTGATGGCAGAAAGGAAATGTGAAATGTGGGAAATCAAGATGGAAGAAGAGGAAGGAGTGCCAGTAGGCATTTTTGAGCTTCAGAAAACTCTCCACCTGACTGCACAGGTGACCACTTGATGGACAGCAGTTGCAGGCAAATGCAGCCCTGTTCTTTGGGCATTTGGCCCAGATTGAAGTCTCATTGAGTTCAGTTGTGCTAAGCTTTGACTGAGAGATGCCCTTTGTTATACAAGTGATATCCTATTTTGCTAAAATGGATACATTTATAAAGAGAAATTCCTTCCATTTTGTTTTTACAGAGAAACAAGTAGTATTATGTTCAGAAGCTGAAATAATAAATGTAAAGTTTTGTAATACATAGCTTGGATCCACACTAGCATTTCCATGGGCACATCCTTGTACCCACGGCATGCCATTCCACTTCCCCCCCTCTTGTGGCAGCCGAAAATGCCCCTGAAATCCTATTTGCTGGAGAAAAGGGACTCTCAGGAACAGGATTTGGGGAAACATTTTGGGCCACTCTGGAAGTGGGGAGGCAGGAAGCATTAGTGTGCCTGCGGAAACATTAGTGTGAATTCAGGCTTGTGGAGGGAAAGCTGGGTGTCGTTAATGTGTACCTCTTTGTAAATGTTAAGTCTTCCATCAGCCCCTCTTCAGTTTAAAAGGCTTATTTTCTGGGAAATGGTAACATTAACATACCATTGAATTATTTTGTAACTTATATGAGAAATCATCTCTATTACTTGATAGTGAATAAGGGTCCAGTCAGGATTTCATTTAGCTTGCATCTGTTGAATCCGATTTTCTCTTTTAATTTTTAGATCTGTCCTATTTGTGTGTCTCTTCCATGGGGAGATCCTACTCAGGTCACAAGAGATTTTGTTAGTCACTTAAATCAAAGGCATCAAGTTGATTATGGGGATTTTACAGTAAGAAACATTCTGTTCTTGCCTTTTGAATTAAATGATTGTAATGTTTTTCTTTGCAAGACTGAACTTGACTTCCATTTATCCCAGGTTAATTTTGATACATGCACATTCTATAGAAACTCTGCAGGCTTCTAAGTTAAGTTGCCTGCAGGTCTTAAAGTGCTACCATGGGCCTTAGTAGGTTGTGAAATCTTTTTTCTAGCAAACTTTTACAATAAGGCTAGAAATTTTCTTGAAGGATGTCTTCAGTTTAGAGTAACCTTCTTCAGGCCATGATAAACCAGCTACTCTACATCACAAGGGAAATTGCTGTTCTTCCCACAGTTAAAACCAGTGTTAATAGCAGTAAGCAACAGCTGAAGAGTTATTGTTCCCCGCACACATTTCTTTGGTCCCAGTGTTGTCTAGGAACAAGCTTTTGTAATAAAAATGCTGCAGCAAAGAGCAGTCCCTGTTTCACACCATCTTTGGGGGAGAATCTCCCATGTCCATCCTAAACATGCATATACTTACATAATGTACTTAAAATGTTCCACTCTTGTAATCTTTGCACAGTTATGGGTAATCAGTTGGAGTCTGTGTCCAGGGTCTGTTTGAATTCTGCATTTTCCTGGTTCTGTCAGTTACTTGGGCATAACATCCTTTCTCCCCATCTAGTAAACAAACACATCCTCACATCTACTTTTTAGTAGGATTCTTACATCATAGAGTGTTTTGTAGCCAGGCAGCAGCAGAAGTAAGGAAGTGGCATCTGACCAGAAAGGTGCAGGAGGTTAGAGCAGTGGTTCCCAACTTTTTTGCTATGCTGACCCACACGTCCATGTATACTTTCTATGGTGACCCATCCAGGGTTAGTCCAAGGTTTTGGGGGCAAACCATGTCATTGGCACCTATCTATTTTAGCATTCCATTTCCTGTAGTGCCCAACCAGATGTTTTTAAGAAACCAACAAACATCATACAAAGGGTGCAGCTGCCCCCACTATGAACCCTAAGCAAGTGGGAGTTTCTCTCCTCCTCCTCTGCTAGCTGGGCCAGAGTTTGAGGAGGTGCACAGGGAGGGGAAAGGGTCCTGGGTTGAGGAGATACACGAAGATGGCAGATGGTGGTGAAGAGGTTGGTCCAAGGGGCTCTGTGCTGTACATCTCCCACAGCAGGTAGAGGGCAGTGAGGCACTGTAGCAGGGTGGCCAAGAGATTGGGCTGCTGAAGGAACAGCACTAAAACAGAGCCCGTGCATGCACACACGTCTTTCTGGCTTCTTTTTCCCCCCATGGTAGGTGAATCATCTCCCACCTATTCTCCAACCTTTCTCCCACTTCTTTCAGCTACTGCTGTGAAGTTACTAGTTGCAAGATGGGTTTCCCCCCCTCTTTATTGTCACAAAGGAGAGGGAGATGAGAATGTGATAAGTTGACAAAAAGGAAAGAAAGAGAAGGATGGAAAGGGCAGGAGCGGCCATTAAAGTACGCTGGCCTGCCACCCACTTTCAGGGGCTTCATGATCCACTTGTCAGTCCCAACCCACAGGTTGCAAAACACTGGGTTAGAGTACAAGGAAGCAAATGAGTACTAAGGAATAGGTTAAAGATTGGGGCCCAAGGGGAAGATTTCAAAAGAAATTGATGTAGAAGACAGTTTTGCTAGGCACACAAAAATGACTTGCAGAAGAATATTATCAATATGCCAAGACTTTTAATGTAAATCATTTCACTGGAGTCCATTTATTTAGCATTGCAAAAAACACATTAAGCCAGTGATACAGTTTTAATTATGGAAATATTATTTCTAAGAAAATATTTTGTTATGTTTAGACTTTTCAGCTGGACGAGGAAACTCTGTTCCAAAATGCTGTTGAAGAATCTTGTCAAGTGAACCTTTGAAGTTCTGAGTTGCTCACATCACTGCTGTCTACTGGGGGGGGGGCTGCTTCACTGGTCTCAATGTGAATAAAAGGGAACTCTGTATCTCATTGGACAGTGGCTGTTATTTTCTTGTAACTTAAATTCACTTAGAAATGCTTTGTATTTGAACAAACACAACACAGGCCTTGTAATATTATATTTTAGCATGGAATATTTTCCCTTTGCGTAATGGTAGAAATAGTGCAAATGTTTTGGGGAAGCCTTTGATAATAAACCTGTTTAGAGGGTGTTTTTCGTTTCTTTTTTAAAGCTTTGATGTAGTGTACTCAAGGAAATATTTTTAGTTACATTGGAATGAGAGCTGAAGTTGGTATTGAAATGCAGAAAATGAGGGTAAGTATCTGCTTTGCACAAACTTTGTACAATTGCATTGGGCAAGAATGGGGAAAAGTGATTTGTATTTTCTGGAATTTGTATTTAAACAAACACAAAAGGGCATTGTAATATTGTATTTTAGTATGGAATATTTTCCATTTGCGTAATGGTAGAAATTGTGCAAATATTTTGGAAAAACCTTTGATAATCAACCTGATTAGAGGGTTTTTCCCTTTCTTTTTAAAGACTTTGATGTAGTATACTAGAGGAAATATTTTAGTTACATTGGAATGAGAGCAGAAACTGGTATTGAAATGCAGAAAATGGGGGAAGGTATCTGCTTTGTATAATCTTTGTACAATTGCATTGGGCAGGAATGGGGAAACGTAATTTATATTTTCTGAATTGCTTTCATTCTACTCCGTTACTTAATTCCTGTGTTGTCCATATTAATGCTTTAGGTCAATAAAAATTTATTCTGATTTTAGAAGACCAGATAGGCTTTGTAATAATTAGAATTTTCTACTTTCAGTATGTAAGCTGGAACTGAAGAAATATCACTTGTTTTAGAGACAAAAATCATTCTGATGTTGTTACTATAGTTACAATTCGTCATTCAACATTGTTTAAATACATTTTAAATTTTGAGGTTGGTTTGGATTGACAAGTATGTAACAAAAGTGTTATGAGGCAGCATAAAAATGTAAATAAATAAATGTGATAATATTTAAGATGTTTTATCTCTGGGGATCACTTCATCCATTCTACTGTGTTGAATAGTAATGTGAATTACTTAATATAAGGATTTTTCTTCTGTGTGTTTTCCTGGACGGGATATTACAACCTTGTTTTAAGGTTAGAAACTTACGGATGTGTATTTAGTATTGACTAATCATAGCTTCAACTTAAAGTGCTCTGTTCATTAGCATTGCCATGACTGTGTAGTTTATAGCTGAGTGTAGTTTATAGCTGAGCTAAATGCTACATCTAAGTTCCAATATAATTTTAAAAGACCCCCCCCCTTTCGAAATGCAACTTCTGGGGATGCTATTTGGAATTAAAAAATGGCTCCAGGGTGGTATTTTCAGCCGGA